GCTGGTTTTGAACCACAATCCTCAGATCTCAGCCTTCTGAGTAGCTAGGATTATAGGCGTGGGCTACAAGCACCTAGCTACACATTTTTTTTGTGTGTGAAAATACTGTACAGAGGGGTTACAATTACATGGGCAAGATAATGAGTACATTTCTTATCAAGCATTGTAGCCTCCTCCTTTGTTTCCCCTTCCCATCCCTTCCCATCCTCCCCCCACCCATTTTTTTTTCAATTCAGAAATACAGATTTTAAAAATAAAGTGGCCATAGCATACACTCATACATTAAAGGCATTAAAACTGACTAGTTTTCATGGGCAAAATAGTTTTACCACTCAAGTTCTGGGAGAGTTGGAGCCATATGGGGGGAAGGCAGTTACATTTGCCAGGAAATGATCCAAATGACACCTCTGTGAATAGGGTGTGCTAATCCTAAGGAAGCTCCCAATAGCGGGTTTGAGTTGACCTCTCAGGACAGACAGGCCGACTAGGGAAAACTGGAGCCTTTCCTGAAAGAATTTGTCTTCATACAAGATAAATTAGCCACATTCACATAAAGTACACGCACACAACTTAGAGTTACAAGAAGGGGGTACTGATGCTGAATCATTTATTCAATGTTTAGGATTTGGATCTTGAAAGTCTCAGTGCTCAAATTTTCCAGCATTAACTGCCAATGTAAAAAAGGTGAAAGTACTTGGTTGAAGCCGGGTGATAGGTCTTAAGTTAAATTCACTTGGAACAGGAAACTGGCAGCTTTTAAGTAGCCTTGCAGCCAGGGCAATAAAATGCAGCTGTGTCAAGGCACTCTCGTTTTAAGCAAACGGAAAACAAAGCTAACAACTCAAGCCCACAGGAACAAGGTCAGGAATGCCAAAAACATTTTAATTTTTGCTAAGTAGATTAAGTCAGTCACCCTCCCCCTCGCCCCCTTTCCTTTGTGGGCAAAACCGGTTCAAGTTGCATGCATTATTAGTTCCTGCTCCGCCTTGAAGGGAGAAACTAATTTGTAAGAGGACAAACCCAGTAAGCAGAGCCTAAGGCGCAAAATTAAGTGGGAAACTCGTATGAAGCAAAACGTGAAAGCAATCAATGGCTGCTGCTGAATCAAACGAGGGAGAACACTTTATCTTCCGCCCATCAAATGTCCCGCAGCCCTTCTCCCAGCCCCCATCACAGATCCCACAGTAGATGAAGAGGAAACTGGGGGCGGGGAGGGGAGGGACCCCAAAAAAACCAAAAACCTGCGCTTAGCTCGGTCACTGTTTTAGGGACAAAGAGAGCCAAGATCTGGGATCAAGGGGAGCGTCAGGCCCCCTGCTCCCCAGGTTCGCTTGACAGACAGATGCCACCTCACTCTGCTTCTCCCGCCCGAAGCAGGAACGCGGGGGAGCCGAGGGGAGTGGATCAGAGACCAGCCAGGCGCCAGGCCCCGACGCCTGGGATCGGCTAGGCTGAGAGGAAGGAAAAGCTACCCAGCTGGGGCGAAGCAGCGACTGCGGAGGGAGGAGAAAGGTGGGGGAGGCGGTGCGAAGGCCCGGCTGATGAGGCGGGGGGTCTCCGGCCAGGCCCACTCACCGTCGGCCGTCGGAGCAGCGCCATGGGGCAAGGGAAAGGCGGGAGTGCCCGTCCTGCCCAGGGAGGGCCGAGGACTGGACCACGAAAACACGACTAGCGTGGCGGCGCCGTTGAGGGCAGCGCTCCAGACTCGCACCGCCGACCGCCGAGGATCTTCTGCGAGCGCTCCGCGTTTCAGGATTCAAATACCGCGCCGCTCGCGCCCCTATTGGGCAGCCTTACGCACGGCGCGCCGCTCTCATTGGCTGAGCTGGGACGCGTCATCTTATGCTGATTGGATGAAGTTTCTATACTTGTTTGGTTGTCATAACAACCAGATGGCTTTCCTCCCTTCCCCACCCCCAGTTGTGGGGGGGGGTGGGTTGTGGGTTGTTTTTTTGTTTGTTTCCTTTAGTTTTGCTTCTTCAATCTCTTTGACACAAACAAAAGTCGACTCTCATTAGGAAAGCTCAGAATTTTGACAAGCACTCATCAACGGTATCTTTCAAAGTTTATTGGGTGGATGGGAAATGGGATCTGTGGAACACATTTGAAATACCAACTCGGACCTTTATTCCTCTTGCAGAAATGTCGGCTTTAGGTTGGGTTGGCCTGGGTAGTGGCTCCATGAAAATGTGTGCTAAAGATGGGGGATTTATGGTGTTTACTCAAAATATTCCCAGCAGAAGCAGAAAGGAAAACCGAGGATTTGCATGTCTCTTGATTTAGCATCTAGTACAGCCGGAGCTAGTAAATATTTGTCCAATAAATGATCCTATGGCGTGTACAAGATTTATAATGAAAAACGAGGTGTGGCCTAGTCTTTAGCAAAAAGGTGGGAGAACAAAGTGCAAAGAAAAGTGGCTCTGGGAAAGAGAAGGTGACTATAGAACAAGACAGAGCTGGAAGTGGAGATGTCATGGTAATTTAGTGGTAGATTTGTTTCCCAGCACCTAACTTGAAAAGGAGAGAGAGAGAGAAGGAAAAAGCAAGCAAGCAAGCGAGCGAGCAAGCGAGCTGGGGCAGGCACTGGTGGCTCACACCTCTAACCCTACTACTCAGGAGGCTGGGATCTGAGGATCATGGTTCAAAGCCAGTCCTGGCAGGAAAGTCCGTGAGACTCTTTGTTTTTTTGGGTCTGGTCATGGGGCCTGAACTCTGGGCCTGGGCGCTGTCCCTCAGCTCTTCAGCTCAAGGCTAGCGCTCTACCGCTTGAGCCACAGCGCCACTTCTGGCTTTTTTCTTTTTGCTTATGTGGTGCTGAGGAATCGAACCCAGGGCCTCTGGCATGCAAGGCATGTGCTCTACCACTGAGCCACCTTCCCAGCCCCAAGTCCGTGATACTCTTATCTCCAATAAACCACTAGAAAAACCAGAAGTGGCACTGTGCTCAAGCGGTAGAGTGCTAACCTTGAGCTGAAGAGCTGAGGGACAGCGCCCAGGCCCAGAGTTCAGGCCCCACGATCAACAAAAAAAAAAAAAAAAAGAGAGAGAGGGGCTGGGAAGGTGGCTCAGTGGTAGAGCACTTGCCTTGCATGCATGAGGCCCTGGGTTCGATTCCTCAGCACCACAGAAGCAAAAAGAAAAAGGCCGGAAGTGGCGCTGTGGCTCAAGTGGTAGAGCTCTAGCCTTGAGCTGAAGAGCTGAGGGACAGTGCCCAGGCCCAGAGTTCAGGTCCCACATCCAGACCTAAAAAAAAAAAGAGAGAGAAAGAGAGACAAGAGACAGAGACAGAGAGACAGAAAGACAGACAGAAAGCAAGCAAGCAAGCAAGCTGTGGCTCAAAGTGTAAAGCACTAGCTAGCCTTGAGCAAAAGAGTTCAGGGATGAGTTCAAGCCATCAAAAAAAAAAAAAAAAGAAAGAAAAAGTATTAGGCATCCTTACAGAATAGTGTCTGTCTGTAGTGGGTCTGGAAACTCTGGGCCTGGACACCATCCCATAGATTTTTCACTAAAGGCTGGCAGTCTACCACTTGAGCCACGGCTCTACCTCTGACTTTTTTGTGGATGACTGAAATTAAAGAGTCTCTCAGATTTGTCTGCCTGTGTTGGCTTTGAACCTTGATCCTGAGATTTCAGCCTCCCAATTATTTATCTCCTACTAAAAGCCAACATTATTTCCTCTTCCCTTAAATCTAAGGTAGCCTTGTTACTTGTCTTGATGGACAAAATGAGATTAGTAATGTTTCTGGAATGCTCTAGATCTAGATTTATGTCTTAAGTAGCCTGACAATTCCTGTTCTCTTCCTTGCAGCCCTTAAAGGTCTAGCCTTTGTTAAGCGATGTCATTGAAAAAAATTGTTCAACAGCTGTCCTAGTTAAACCAAATGAAGCCTCTTGTACATGAAGATGGCTATATTAGACATTCTTTTCTAGAAGGTGGAAGAGGAGCCCAGACCTGTGGTTTGTTGCCACTGCTAGGTAACAAGTAACATTTACCTAGAGGCACTCCTGATCGCTTCCCCAAATAAGCAGTGGCCTTATCTTCTTGGTTTCCTAAAAGGTTACAGTTTAAAAATACTTTGCCCAGCCAGCCCACCTGGTGGCTTACATTTGTAATCCTAGCTACTTACTGAAGAGACTGAGACCTGAAGATCATAGTTCAAAGCCAGCTCAGGCAGAGAAGTCCACGAAACTCATCTCCAATTAACCACTCAAAAATCCAGGAGTGGAAGTATGGCTCAAGCAGTAGAGCACTAACCTTGAGCAAAAAAAGCTAAGGGACAATGCAAAGACCGAGTTCAAATTCCAATGCAGGTACACACACACACACACACACACACACACACAATTTTACAGTACTCAAACAGTAACAGTTATCAGTGAGATGTTCATTCTGACAGGGTCTTGTTTCATTCCTTATTGGTGCAATTAGCAGCAGTAGCTCCTGCACAGTGTTTTAAGGTTTGTGTCATAAATACTTGTTTCAGATTTTAAAATTAACTATAAGAAAACAACTATCAAGTACAAAATAGGTCGGTTTTTTGTTTTTTTTTTTTAAATCTGGACAACATCTGCACCATGATTATCTTCCTATCCTACTTGTAATCCATCCCAAGACAGGGACCCAGGGCAGTCTTACCTGGATCACAGGCTACTTTATTCATTTCCACAGTAAGGTAGCCAACATGGGTCATTCTCCCTCATTCTTCCTTGACCTTCATGATGCTACCTCCATGCTAGGCAAAGTGCTCCACCACTGACCGACATACCCACGCATCAAGTATACTTTTAAGACTGTTATTTTATATCTTCTAAAATATAACCCACGCCCCATCTGCACACACTGGTAATTACCACAGTGCATCACTTACTAAATATTAAAAAGGCACCATTAAATATTAACACCCAAATCATGCAAATATCAGTTTGAGCAGGAGTGCTGCTTATGACTTCCAAGATGTTTAATGTAAACTACTTAATAGAAATTAATTATGAAACACAAAGACAATAGAAATATAAGTTATTTATTAATCAATCCACTTACAAAGCAGGTGGCTTAATGCAAGCTTATTGACATCTTCACATATGATCCATGGGAACATGTCTTCCACATACAGACAGTGATATTACTGACTGGATGCATTTGCAATCTGGGGCATATTAAGCATATTTAAACAAATAAAATTCGGCTATCCTGTATATGAAAGTATCTTGATAATATGCATCCTGAAGTGGATTAAAACTTCCTCCAAAGGAGAAATGTTAGTATGTTAACTTAGCTTTATATTCTATATTATGCTGTAAATCTTAACTATAGATATTAAAAATTTTAAATCAGTGATCGACTCTTGGTAATGTCTGAAGTGGGATTCTATAATCATAGCAACAGTAGGTTAACAGTATAATTTGTGCCTCACAGTATCTGCAGATTTATTGTCTTCAAGTTTAAGAGAGAAATAAAACAAGAGACATGTAGATTCAGCTGACTTTATTTACCTTTAAACTAGTAAAAATCCCTTAAACGTGATCCCGGGGACCTTTAGAAGTTCTACCAATGCATAGATACCTGCCAAATGACTGAAATCCTAAATATTAACTGAATGTGATTACAAAATTAATGAAAGCAGATATCTTAACTACTCGTGCTTAGCAGAGGACTGAACAACTTGAAGTTCTACATGTCCTTTTCAATTTCCCTAAAATTTTTATTAAATCTGCAAGTATGTACAATTCAGCTAATTGAAATTAGTACTTAGTGTTCATCAAAGCTGTTTCACAGCAGCAAAAAAAAGAAAAAAAAAATCAGGGAAATAAAAAGTTCTAGATGATGTAGAAAAAGATAAATACAATCAGAACAGCAGTCTTAAATGTATGATATCAATATTCATCTCTATCTGCACTGTGCTGGAAGGAGAAGGATACACCAAGAAAATTTCTATTGATCACTCTGGTGATGTGAATGCCACCCACATCTGACTGATCTTGGTTTATATACTGTTCCCAGCATTAGGATGGTATTGAACTCAGAACTCCATATTGTAAATATACAGCAGCCATTTTGTCCTAATTAAGGAATGTCTTAATACACAATATTATCATTTTCGAGACAATCTTTATACATTAAACTAAAGTACATGATTGATTAAATTAAAGGTTAGTAATGGATAAAAAAAATTCATAATTCTCAAGACTTGGTACTAGGTAAAAAATAAAAAGACCACAAAATTCTACTTACTAAAGCAGCTAATCTTGCCTGCAAGTTTAGGGTCACAAGCCCATAATGTGTGCAAAGAAATGCAATACAAGGAACCATGCAAAAATACAGTAAAATGATACAGGAAAATGTCAAAATCTAGGAGAAAAAAAAAAAAGCTTTTATAAATACATCAAAATCAACTGTCTCCATAAGGTGTAGGTCTCGCATTGGATGTACCATGTAGCAGAGCCAGCACTCTAAGTTCAGTGCTTCCAAATCTATGCAGGTAAGTCATGCCATCTTTGGTTGACTGCAGTACCAGGAAGGATGAGAATGAGAGGGAGGGCAGGAGTCCTGAAGCACGATGTCAACTTTCACTTGGCAGCTGGGCCTCGATGTCCACTCTGCATATGGGGCACTTCTTGTTGGTAATCAACCACTGGTCAACACACACTTGGTGGAAAAGGTGCATACATGGAAGGCGCCTAATAATGGCAAAGAAAATAAAGGCAAAATTACTTTTATGACAATGGTGTGTGACATTTGTAATTATACATGGGATCATTCTGTAGTGTTTTGAAGTTCATTGTTAAATTAGAATTCTGGACAATATAATGTGAGTGACCAAAATAATTAATTGCGGAAACAAGTAATATAGAATCTGAATGAGTGTAAGAACAAGAGTCAAACTGATCATTATGACAACTTTTGGGGTAAGTTGTTTTGTTTGGACTGCTAGTGCAGCAGAGATGGCAGCACATTTCCACAGACACATAATATTAGAAACTTCTTTTGGGGTGGGGTTTGATCTCAGGGCCTTGTGCTTGCTAAACAAGCACTTTTCTTTAGTTTAAAGCTTATTATCAAATAGACTTGTAAGGTTTGAATGTTTAATAAGGAGTATCTAGTTACCTCACATCTTCACCTTCCTCTAAAATAGACAAACAGATAGTACACTTTTCCTCTGTGTCCTCCTCAGTCCCTTCTCCATCTTGTTTGCAGTGCAGTTTCCTCTGTGAGAACCAATCAGTTGTTACCTTATTAGCAGAGATGACATTATTGAACAACTGAGTAAAGTCTGCATTTATTTAAAAACAAAACACAACACAACCATATTCACAAACAATTTATATCTTAGAAAAGACGATCATGAATTAACGATGTATTAAGTGACTCAAATACTAACCCCCTCTAATAATCGGCAACAAAAGAAAAGCCAAATTCAATAGAAATGTGTTAGTCTGAAATCTACTACTATTATTTTTTTGATGCCCATTCTGGGATTTGAACTCAGGGACTGGGGGCTATCATGAGCTTTCTGTAGTGAAGGCTAGTGCTCTACCACTTGAGCCACCGCTCCACTTCCAGCTTTTTGCTGAGTATGCAGGACTACAGGCATGAGCCACTGGTACCTGGTTAAATCTATCACTTTTAATCTACACTAAGAATGATATATTCTACAGGCTATCTCTCCATCCCGTTATCAGTACAACTAGAGAAATCTCTTCTTTCTAATGAATACTTCAAACAACACTCATATTTAGTGAAAAGTGTATTTTGCTTAAGCAGAGAGAAGAACTTAAATTTAGTGGTATCACATTCATACTTTTAAAACATGACAAATACAAAGAACAACTATAGCCTCTATAGCATAAAGCACTGTTTCTTATAGGAACTTGTTTTAAATGTCCACTCTATTAACTTCCAGATATAATACAATACAAAAATGAAAAGTAAAATGGTTTACAAATGGCTCGTGTCTATAATCAGTATTTTTTTTTTTTTGGTCTGGTCGTGGGGCTTGAACTCTGGGCCTGGGCGCTGTCCCTCAGCTCTTCAGCTCAAGGCTAACGCTCTACCACCTGAGCCACAGCGCCACTTCCAGCTTTTTTCTTTTTGCTTATGTGGTGCTGAGGAATCGAACCCAGGGCCTCATGCATGCAAGGCAAGCGCTTTACCACTGAGCCACCTTCCCAGCCCTAATCTCAGTATTAAGGAGACTAAGATGAGGATCACGGTTCAAAGGAAGCCCAGGTAGACAAATCTGTGAAACTCTTATCCCTAATTAATCACCAAAAAGCCACAAGTGGAGCTGTAGCTCAAGTGGTAGATTGCCAGCTTTGAATGAAAAAGCTAAGCGACTGCACTCAGGTCCTAAATTCAAGCCCCACTACCACCACCAAGGAAAAACAAAACAAAAAAATGTCACCTCAGCACTCAAGTAGCTGAGAAGGCTAGCCTGTGCTATAGACACCAAGACTGCCAAAAAAAAACCCTACAAGGACTGGAGGCTACGTGGTTGAAGAAGTAGAGTACTAGCTATGAGCAGAAAAAGTCAGAACATCGAATGGCACTGGTCAGAAAACAAAATCAAGAAAAGAAAAAGGCTTATGAATATGGAAAAAAATGGAGTAAGTTGTTTTCTGTTGGTTTTAAAAATGAAAAAATACACATGTATTCTTTTTTTTTCTTTTTTTTTGTTGGTTGTGGGGCTTGAACTCTGGACCTGGGCGCTGTCCCTGCACTCTTCAGCTCAAGGCGAGCACTCTACCGCTTGAACCACAGTGCCACTTCTGGTTTTCTAGTGGTTTATTGGAAATAAGAGTCTCACGGACTTTCCTGCCCTTCCTGGCTGGCTTTGAACTGCAATCCTTAGATCTCAGCTTCCTGAGTAACTAGGATTACAGGTGTGAGCGACCAGCACCAGGCTATGGCTGTTTTTTCTGACTGGGAAAAATCTAATATTACAACTTGCTCCTTAAAGTTAATGCTATCACTTTTTTTTTTTTTTCACAAGTCCTGGACTGGGTGCTGTTCACTCAAAGTTAACCTTCTACCACTTTGAGCCACATCACTAGTTCCAGTTCTGTGGTGGTTAACTGGAGATAAGAGTCCCATGGACTTTCCTGCCCAAGCTGGCTTTAAAACACAATCCTCAGATCTCAGACTTCTGAGTAGCTAGATTATTAGTGTGAGACACCAACACCCAGCTCCCTGAGATTTTTTGCTCAAGGCTAGCACTCTACCATTTGAGCCAAAGCTCCACTTACAGCTTTTTGCTGGTTAATTGGAGATTAGAGTTTCACAGACTTTCATGCCCTGGCAGGTTTCAAACTATGATCCTCAGATGTCAGCCTCCTGAGTACATAGGATTACAGGCACGAGCCACTGGCACCCAGCTCACTTGTATTGTTTTAATGATAAAGCAGCTATTAAGACTCCATTACTCAAAAATTTGTAATATTGAATTCTGTGCATTTGGTAAAAGTTTGTAAGGTTCACAGGAAACCCTTACCTTTTTGTATTTATGTGGATATGTACATCTTTCAATTGTTCCCTGGGATGCTCCTCGATTGACATTTCCTAATCTTTCTTCCAAATGAATCAGTTCCTAGAAGTAAAGAATATCTAGTATTAAGAGTGTCAGTGATTATTCCTTGAAGAGAACTGTCAGCATTGTAAAAAAAAGAAAAATCCAAAAGAACAAAGCTAAAAACTTATATATTTACAAACCTACAAGTATGTTTTAAATAACCCACTACTGCTATGCAAATAGTATGTTTATTTGTTGCTATTTACTTATCTATTGGTATGTGTGCAGTACTGGAATTTGAACTCAGGGTCTTACACTTGATTTATATTCCCAGCCCATTAAATGACTGTTTATATAATTTTCAATAACAGTACATAGTAAGGCAAATAAAACATTTTCTTTTCAGTTTTTTTCTTGGTCAATTGAGGTAGGGTGGAGGCATGGCTCAGTTGGTAGAGCCTCAGCCAAAGATCAAAAGCATCTGGTACTAAGTTCAAGTTCAGATCTCAAACCCAAAAAAAGGATAATAGCATCATCATCATATGGCACTACATTAAGTCTCTAACACCCACAAGCAACGTCAGAAAAGCAGACATTTTACTGCTTTCTGAATACTAGGCAGTAATTGCCACAGTGTACAGAAACTAGCGGTGTATAGATAAACTATATAGTCTTTCTGCACTAAAGGGACCATGGTGAATGGCTCATTTGTTTTAGTACATACCTCAAAATTGCCCCTGAAAGGACCTCTGAATGAAGTTCCATCCAAACCTGATGAAATGTAACGTATGTGAGGATAGCCTGCCATGTCAGGAACCTATGTGTAATACAAGACAGACTAAATCAGTTCAGAAAGACTCCATTCAACTCACCAAATTCAACTGTTATAACTTCAACATCACTCCAACTAAGCCTTCTGTTACAGGGTTAGGTTCCTCTTAAAATATGAATTCTTATAACTCTTCAAACACAGAAGAAATAAAAGAAAAAACCTAGCTGTTTCGTGATTAAAAATGAACAATTTTCTAACAAAATGTAACTGCAAGGTAAGTTTTATATCTCTTCCTCTAGCTTCCTCACAGCAAAAAGAACATCTGCCAGCTTTTTAATTCTATGAAAGGCTGAGGTGTGTGTGTGTGTGTGTGCCCACGTGTGCGTGTGTGTGTTATGTGCATGTGTGCTGGTCCTAAGGCTTAAAACTCAGGGGCTGGGTGCTGTCCCTGAGCTTTTTTGCTTGAGGCTAGCATTCTACCACTTGAGCCATACCTCCACTTCTGGCTTTTTGCTGTATAATTAGAAATAAGAATTTCATGGGCTGGCTTCAAACCACAATCCTCAGGTCTCAGCCCCCTGATTAGCTAGGATTATAGTTGTGAGCCACCAGTGCTCTTATCAAGGTCAGTGGAAGTTTTATTAGAGTTTTCTAATTTTTTATCAGGTATATTAATAATCCTCATTGTTTTCAGATTCCAGTATCTGTACCCTTTGAGCCACAGTGCCACTTCTGGTTTTCTGGTGGTTAATTGGTGATGAGTCTCATGGGGGGCGGGGGCGTGCTTTTCTGCTTGAACTGGCTTTACACCATGATCCTCGGACCTCACCCTCCTGAGTAGTTAGATTTACAGGGTTAGCCATCAGTGCCTGGCACTTCCATGTTTATAGATAAATTTCCAACATTACTTTTTAATCTGCCTCTATTGAGATTAAAAACTTACTTTTAGCAGATGTACAGTTTTAACTGACTATGTGTAAAAGAACTTAAAATAAGTAGATAATGCCTTTTTTAATGTAATTTTATTGTTATTATTGAAGTGTTGTAGAGTAAGCTTTTAACCTTGAAATGGCTGATATTTCCATTATGACAGCTTTCCTTATAACCAAGATCAATACCAAGCAGACAACTAAACCTCCTAGACAACTCTAACCATCTCCTTAGCCTCCTTCACTTCTTAGATTCTACTTGAGGAGCATACTTATTTAGGAGCTCCTGGTACTTGGGCTGACTGCTAGCTCTTTCCATAACGCAACCTCTGCAACAGCAGGTCCAAAGCTGCTGCATGTCGCCTGTCCAATGAAGCTTCTCTGAAACTCCTGCAGTGATTCCACCCCAGACAGACAGAACCACTCCCTCTTCTGTCCCCATCTGTAACTGTGGGTATAGAAAATCCTTGGGACCCTATGGGCATATGGGGCCAAGAGAGCACTGCTGAGGAAAAACCACAAGTGCTCAAGATGCACAGACAGTATCATACCATGAACACTTGATTAACCATACCGCCTTCAACAAATGACAAGTTTTTGCTTTATCACTTAAGCACATTCTTTGCCATTTTTAACATAGGAGGCTCAACCATAATGTTTCCCTTGCACCTTTTGGAAGGCAGATTTTCATAAGACGAAGAGTGGGGAAATACACGAAACACACAACTGACTGTATCCAGAGACTGACGGCAAACTTCTCCCCATTAACTGAGGAGCTGTGTAATGTGCATGCAGGAATGTAAAATTCCTGTCTTACGAAATTTCATTTGATTTTATTATTTGACGACACTTGGTTATAACTGTGTGCAACAAATCCATAAGGAAGGCAAGTTTATAGTATTATGTAAACTCAACAATTTGTGCTAATAAGCTTTTTTGCTAAGCACTCAACATAATATCAACCAAATCTGAACCTGTTTAGTGAAAGGTGGAGAGTTCCTATTGTCCTTCTATCAATTAGAAGATGAAGAAGGAAAGCAGCAGCACAGATCCATTCTATTCATAAAGGAGAACATGTCCTAGTGACAGTAAATCATTGTTCCCTCACACAGAAAAGTTCCTTTCAGGTTATTTTATATATTAGCGGTACATTTTACAATGCAAATTATAAACAAAGATATGACTATATTTAATACCACTTTCTAGACCAACTTCTAATGAACAAGAGAAATTCTGAAATTCCATTAAGACATCGATAATATACCAAGGGATTTTAATAAGGCATTTAGCTTTAAAAAAAAAAAAAACAACATGCAGGAAGTCACAGAAGTGTACCATTAAAGGAAGAGCTCCTAGCTGCAGGTGGTGCAGTCGAGGAGGGGCGTGGTAGTGGGCCAAGTGAGGGTGCAATGCTCCAGGGGTGTATGTGGCCGCCGTAACGCCAGCTTCAATTCCCAGTTCCCTAAAAAAAGATGACAACAGCTCAACTCTGTGTTCTCCTTATGCGATCATTGTCAACACAACAGGGAGTGGATTTACATTTTCAGAAATAAAGTCTCTTAACTTACAAAGCTGTGAAAAATATGACTTAGTTAAAAAAAAAAAAAAAAAAAGTTACACTAACAATTTCAAATCTATTTCAGAAAATGAGAGCTTAAAAAACTCAATTTTGTGACCAAATGGGAGAAAACATTTGCACATGGTTTCACATATCACAAAAGAAGAAAATACACTGGCTCCTCCAATCTCTCCATCCTAAATGCTTTACTCTACTTGAGGAGCATAGAAAATAGTTTACTTTGGGGCTGGGAAGGTGGCTCAGTGGTAGAGTGCTTGCCTTGCATGCATGAGGCCCTGGGTTCGATTCCTCAGCACCACATAAGCAAAAAGAAAAAAGTCGGAAGTGGCGCTGTGGCTCAAGTGGTAGAGTGCTAGCCTTGAGCTGAAGAGCTGAGGGACAGCACCCAGGCCCAGAGTTCAGGCCCCACGACCGGACCAAAAAAAAAAGAAAATAGTTTACTTTGCTGGTGTATGTGAATGTTACAGATGTTTCCAGGGGTTTTGTTTGTTGGAATGGATATCATCTCTTGTGTTGTTGACATCCAGGATAGTTAGAATGGCAAATTCTTCTATACCTTATAAAGTAAGGTTAAACAATATTTTAGAAAGAATAAAACTGGGATATGCAAAATCCTTATTCATTCTGATTTTATATTCTGCCCCAAAGGTCATTGTAGCTTAAGATCTTAGTGACTGCCTATACGCAACGGATTCAATAGGAAAATTCAATGCAAACATTTCCATTTCTTTAGGATATATCATAAGCCTAAGAATACAGGCTGGATTGTTCTTGTGGATGGCAGAAGTTGAGGATGAAGGGTTGAGAAAGAAGTTGGGAACTGTAGAATCAGATTAAGGAGTTAACTTCAGGGAGATTTTGGTCAGCAGGTACAAAATTTCAGTTAGATAAAGTAAGTTCTAATGTTCTGTGCAACATGGTAGCTACTGCTAATAATTAATGGTATGGTTCAAAAATCAGTAGAGCCAGACACTGGTGGCATACTAATCCTAGCTACTTAGGAGACTGAGATCTGAAAGTCATGGTTCAACCAGTTGGACAGACAAAATCTGAAAGACCCTTATCTCCCATTAACCAGAAAGAAGCCAAATACTAGGGTGAGGCTCAAGCAAGTGAGCTGAGCAAGAGGGAGAAGTCTGGAGTTTAAGCACAAAATATAAAATAAATTTTAAAATTTTTCAGTAAAAATAAGGACTTAAAATTGTCATCTCAAAGAAATCATAAATTTCTGAAGTAATGGATATGCTACCAGCATGAGTTGATCATTCCGCAGTGTATACATGTACGGAATCATCATATTGTATCCAATGCACACTATTATTATTTGTCAATTCAAAATGGAATAAAACTTAAGGAGATGACTCCTGCTGGAGATGATTCCCTACTCTAGAACACAAGCTCCTATTCTTTTCTCTGGAGGCTTCAGCTTGTCTCATAGCTAAAGTGGGGACTGGGTTTCTTCACAGGACCCAAGCTGTTATAAGGCATTCCTCTCTACGAACGACTGCTTCCCCTAGTATTGTCAGAAGCTACTGTGCAGAGCTTTGAAATATACAAGATACTGACCAGGCAGATCTCTCTGGAGCCTGACGAGGATGTGAGGACATAGTCTGAGGCACATGAATATGGTGCCCGTGACCATAGTTCGGGTGCATCCTGTGGGGATGGGGTGGGGGCCGTTCATGTGCCCGCCTGGAAACACAGAACACAAAAAGACCACTGGAAATAAGTGAAGAATTGGTTATTCCTTAATGTATCAACAATTCTAGTGTTACTACAATGACTATCTACAGGCTAGTTCTAAAGTTAATTTGTAACAAGAAATTAAAAGCACCTATAAAATTATTTCATAGCAATGTTTGCAAATTACTAATTATAATAATTATCAATAAGTTAACTTTAATATAATGAATTTATTAACTGGTAACAAATTAAGAGCTTATAACCTCCTCCACAAATTCTCATTTATCCCAACATCTCAAATTTACATATAATCCTGGGAAAACAGCAATTTTAATATCATTTTATAAAGTTTTACAAGAGGTATTTTAATTAGGAGAATCATGGAAATTGAATAAATTAAAATTTTAAGTGTTTAACGTTTCAGTAAATGTCACCTCAACAACAAGTTATTTTATATACACATAATAAAGCAAGAAAATGGAAACTCTTATTTTCTTCACTTCTTGTTTTTTATTGCCATCTATTTTGACACTGAAGTCACCATTTGAGCTAGGTACCAATAGTTACTATATATAATCCTAGCTATTTAGGAAGCTGAGATCTGAGAATCCCAGTTCAAAGCCAGCCCTGGTGGAAAAATCCTAGAGATTCTTACTTCCAATAAGCCAGGAAAAAGCCAGAATTGTAGGCATGGCTCTAGTGGTAGAGTGCAAACTGTGAATAGAAAAGCTAAGCAGAAGAAGCATGAGGCCCCGAGTTCAAGACCCAGCCCAATACACACACACACACACACACACACACACACACACACACACACACACACACACACACACACACCAACTATTGTAAAGGTTAGAAATCTGAGACATTTTAAACCATATATATTGTTTTCTTAAAACATATGGTATATGCTAACATATCTAGGACCTTGTTTAGTTCCATTCACACACTATTCTGCATCTCAATTTATTATGTTCTCAATCTAAAGTCAGTCAAATTTACAAATACAAGTTGATCATAAAATTCTCAACAAAGAGCCAGACCAGATGGTTCATGCTCATAATCCCAGCTAGCCTAGGAGATGAAAGAGGATCTTGGTTCAAGGTCAACCCAGGCAAAGAAGTAAGACCCCATCTCAATTAATAAGCCAGGCATAGTTGCAATCAGCTGTGTTTTTAGTTACCTGGGAGGCTGGAATTCAATACACCCTACCTGAAAAAAATTGTAAAGCTAAAAACATGGAGTAGGGTTGTGGCTCAAGTGGTAGAGCACCTGCCTACTAAGTACAAGGTCCTTGTGCGCCTGTGTGCAAGACAAGGAACATTTTTGAAACATAGCTCAGTCTCAGGGACTCATTTTTGTAATCAAATTCTTTTCAATTCATTCCTAACCCTTTTGCAAATTTCACTTTATAGCCACTGGAGGATATGACTATTCACTTGTCAACTTCCTACATTAAGAGTTATTGTTTAGAAAGTTAGCAGTAGCCAGGTGCATATTCTGTATAAAACCTATTTAACAAAAGGAAGAACTCACACAAATGCTAGACCATTGATTAGATTAAGAATTTCATAAGCACTTTATGTAAAGGTTTAAAAAGTAAATTGGGGGGGGGGGGGTCTGGGATGTAGCTCAGTGGAAAAGTGCAACATCCAGTTTGATCCCCCAGTACCAAAAAAAGACACGACCAAAATCCGGTTTGACCCCCAGTACCAAGAAAAAACAAAAACAAAAACAAAAAAACAAACACTACATTTTTTTCATCTTTTCAGTCATGTATGATCTCTAATGTATAATTGCTCATCAGGTAGAAACAGCCAGAGATGACAAATGACAAAAGAAGGATCAGTTGTACCCCGTTTCCAGAAAACTTTATAGGTAGGTAAAAGTAAGGCAAAAGTTGTTTGTTCCAAATGAGAAAATTAGATGCTGATTTCACAATAGTGAATTCAGGTCATAAATTCAAAAAAGTAACAAGTTTGCCTATGATGTTTTCATGAAGTTCAGAGTATATTTAATATTACTTCTATGAATAAGATTATAATGACTTTTTTCTATGCAACTTTTTGGAAATTCTATTCTTTCCCCTCTCTGATCAGTAACATCAAATCTTCAGTATTTTTTATTTTATTCTTCTGTATCAATTTGTAGCACAATCATTAGTATATAGCAGAAATCAGCAAGGAGAGATTGCTGAAAGTGATCTGACTCTACTAAGTCATCTAACAAACTTTTTGTCAACAAGTGTAATTCAAGAAAAGACAAGGGAGGCCAGACACGATGGCTCACACCTGTAATCCTAGCTATTCAGGAGGCTAGGATCTGAGGAGTACCAGTCCAGGCAGGGAGCCTGTTGACAGACCCTCCGCCCTCCCCCCCCCCAAAAAAAAAAAACTGACAAAGGATGATTATAGTTAGCAAAAATCAATTTCCAGGCTAAGAACAGTAGAGTACCTGTCTAGCATAAAAAACGGCCTTGGGTTTGATCCCCAGCATTGCAAATAAATAATTTCTTAGTGAACCAATAAGTATTTTAGTATATTTACATTGCCCTCCCCCCACCCCCAATACTAGGGTTTGAACTCAGGGCCTTGCACCTGCTCAGTGGCTGCTCTACCGTTACCCTCAGATCTCAGCCTTCTGAGATGCTAGGGTGACAGACAATGTTGTAGCTTTAAAGATGAATGGAAACAAAAGGAAAAGTCAAGCTCCGTGCTCTTTGCAGAGACATGATACATACGTTGGATGCTGCATCATTCTCCTCCTCTGGACTTCCATCCTCTGCATCATTTCATGAGGGTGCAGTCTCTGTGCCGGAGGTGCTGGGGCTGGGAGATGGTGTGAGATGGGCTGGTGTGTAGGAGGAAGGTGCTGAGGGATTGGGGCGGCCGCAGTGGGTAAATGAGTTGGGGGTGGGGGGGCCACAGGATGAGATGTCGCATGAGAAGATATTTGAGAATGGAAAGCATGGACAGGATGAGGAATAACATAATCCACTGGAGGTGGGGGCTGAGTCTGAGGAGGGGGATTTCCATGAGAATGGGGGCAGGCAGAAGCTTGATGGTGAAGTGGTCTTGTCAAAGAAGCATCTGCAAGAAAAACCCTTCCGGTCAGTACATGTAATTTCACTTCATTCCCAGGGTTACATTGTAAGCTGTATTCAAACTTTCTGAAAAATTCTCGCTGATTACAAACTAAAAGTAATCCAGTAAAACATCTTTGTATACCATTCCTCTGTGGTGTCCTGCATATACGTGTATGTAGATACGTATATATGCTCAGAGCCTATTTTTGTGACATAAATTCCTGTTAGAAGGGATGGGTCTGAAAGATAAATATAGATTAAGAATACCCTTCCCAAAGGTTGTTATAATACTTCCATCAACAAACACTTAGGAATGTATTATTACTCCCATAAGATCACTACATTGTTTGAAGAACCAAGTATAGTAGTGCGTACTTGTAATCCAAGAATTTGTAATCCAAGGAGGCAGAGGCAGGAGGTCCACAAATTTAAGACCAGCCCATCAAAATCAGTTTAAGGCCAGTCTGAGCTAACATAGTAATAAGCCCAGTCTCAACCTCCCCCTACTTTAAAAACAAAAACAAATCTGAAAAAAATCTTTTATTAATGACTCACATTTCTTCTCAGAACCATCTATGTATCCTTAGCCATTTGTGATCTTCACCTTTTGCTTATTGATAGGCACTTACAGTTCACATGAAAGCTCTTTTCAATTGTTTCCTTTTTTTATTTTATTTTATTTTATTTTTTTGCAACACCCAAGTTTTCACTTCTCTGTACTCAAACGTGTGCTGAAGATAGAGTGCACTGAGAGAGCGGCTATCCAGTGGGTTTAAGGCCCTGGTCAACGCTCACCAATGCAACAACCAAAAAGAAAATTAAGCTTGGCTTTTGGGGGGTTTTTTTTGCTTATTTTTTGATAGTATCAAGGGTTGAACTCAGAGCCTTGCACTACTGGGCAAGCACTCTACTATGTGAGGCATATCCCCAATCCTATAATTTTTGGGTTTTTTGACGTGGGGCCTTATGATTTAAGATGTATCCCAGGCTGGCCTCAAATTTGCAATCCTCTCACTGTAGCCTCCTGAGTGCTGGAGTTACAGGCGCCTATACCACTATACCACAGCTTCAATTATAACTTTACAAATACCTTACTTTTCTGTTTGACTTGTTAGCTAAAGTGAGCCATGCTGAAAATTAACTGGGCAGAATTCTTCTTTTATTATGCTTCTATCTCCCCTGGACCCACGCTGTTTTACCGTGCTATATTAAGATGAAGTAGTCGTGGCTAGGAGCATAGTTCATGTGCCAGAGTACCATGCCTAGCAAGCATGGAGGCCTGAGCTCAATCCCTAGTACTGCAAAGAAAGTCTCCTTGATTTTACTGTAACGTTCATTCTATTAGGCAATATTCCTGATAATCTGGTATAAAGCTATAGTTATTTTTTACTTTGTTGCAGAATTTTCTTCAAGTTGTAACCAAACTGATTCATTCAGGAGCAGTCCAGATAACTGTATTTTCAAAGGAAGCCTTGTTAGCACTTATCTAAATATTACAAAAGACATAAATGTTCACAAATGTTACAAATTCTTAAAGTTTGTTTCCGAATGTGTTCACTTATTTAACTCTTTGGCTTTGGGGGGAGGGGTGACAAGGGCTGGAAATTTAGGGCCTTTGCGCTCCCCCTTGGGCACTCCACCAATTGAGCCACACATCCAATCTGACATTCTGTTGATTCACTGGAGATGGAATCTCAACGACTTTTCTGTGCAATCTGGTTTCAAACCTCAATCTTCAGATCGCAGCTTCTTGAGGAGCTAGTATTATCGGTACGAGCCATCAGTGCAGCTAGCCAACACTACACAAAACAGAATTGCTGCTGATATAGAAGAGTAGCATATTCTGCATTCTCATCAACCATTTCTATTCTTTTTCAGTTTTATTTGTAGGAACTTTTCCAAACATATTCTATTACTTATCAAGTATGCATAAGATAAAAATTTAAATGCTTCTGAAGTTGCTTTTATAAAGTTCAACATGCCACTTGTAGTTGCAATACTGTGTTACTATCTCATATCTAAATTCTCATAGGTTTATACTGAACGATTAATAATTAATAAGTAATTAATAATAAATAGCCTGTGCCACGCACATGGTGGTACATACCCATAACCTCAACACTTGAGAAGCTGAAACAGGAGAATCACAAGTCCTGGGTCAGCCAGAGCTTGCTCTATGTATCATCAATAACAAACAGACTTCTTTTTCTATCTACTATTGCACTTTCATAAGATACCAGAACATTTTAATGACAACATTTCAAGCAAATTTGTTTTATTACTTCATCAAGACCACACACATTGCAAAAAGCAAAGATTCTTTCTAGTTGCACTAGTACTACTGGTGTGTAAGCTACCTATAGAAGTCAAAGTTTCATAACTTAAAGACCATCAGGGTTACTGCTAGTTTGCTAACAGAAAGAAACTGAGGGTAAAGAGTGAATACTTTAGCTGAGTGCTGGTGGCTCATGCCTGTAATCCTAGCTACTCAGGAGGCTGAGATCTGAGGATCGTGGTTCAAAGCCAGTTCAGGTAGAAAGTCCAGGAGACTCTTATCTCCAATAAACTACTTAGAAAAAGCCAGGAGAGGCTCTGTGGGTAGAGCGTGAGCCTTGAGCAAAAAAAGGCTCAGGCAAAGCACCCAGGCCCTGAGTTCAAACCCCAGGACAGGGAAAACAAAAACAAAAAACAAAAAAACTAGTCAGAACTGGGAGACTGACCAGGATTTGTCTCATTTTAAACCCACTGCTCTACTACACACTACATACCAGCTTTCTCCCAGTACAATTTAAATGGAAAAAGGGTTTCATAACTCTGTGTCTCACATGTGAATGAAAAGGAAATATGGGAAGGGGGTTCCTATGCATATCTATTTTTAAAAACTTCACTTAGGAAAACAGGGCTAGAGCATGGTTATCACTCAAAATTTTTCTAATATAAGGGAATACAATTCAAATTTCCTACCTTCATTCTCATTCACAGACCCCCAATGAGGAGTATAAACTGGTGCAACCCCTTGGAGAGAAATTTAACAATATTTACTTGAAAGTTTATTTCTTTGACACAACAATCTCACTTGTAGGAAGTTATCCTATAGTTAAAACTCAAACAACTACAAGCAATTTAAATGCTCAGCAACAGAGGACTCATCTAATATACATACTGTGGAATATTATGCGAACGTTTAAAAAAATCAATAACGGAGAGAGTGAAAAAACAACAAATACCAGTGGGCTGGATTTTTATGAACTAACAAACATGGAAAGAAATCCAATGGACTGCTGAATTTAAAAACAGAAAACAAGAGGCAGAATATTATGTGCCACATGGTTCTTTTTTTTTTTTTAAGCATAGGCATGCATTTACAAAGGAAATTTCTCAAAGTTTTTATAGTAAGCTGAAAAAGAGTTGCCACCTCTAAGGAAGTAAGATTAGTGAAGTAGGGAGATTCAGCTTTTAACTTCTCATTTTACAATGTTCTGCAAAGTTTGAATTTTTTTGGAATGTACGTGAAACACTTTTATGATAAAAGTAAAAGTCTAAACCATTTTTATTAGAACATTTAAAGGGGAATGTTTTAATTTACTTTAGTCTATTATTTCTAAAGAGGAAAGATGAAAAACCACACAATTAAATTCTTAACACAAGAGAATCAATCAAAAATGAATAGCAACAAATATACAAAACAGCTTGTGTATGAGCTCAAGTTTCATGCAAAGAATTTGCCCAGTGGCCAATGCTTAGCAAAATGTAACCTGTTTCTAATCTATTGACCAACTTACACTTCCTATTTTAACTTGTATTATTAAGAAACCAAATAATGTACCACCAGTTTCATTATACAAACTCTGAGCTGACTCCAGTTCTGTCTACAGGGTGTAGATATTTTGAATCATTGGAATGGAGAAAGAAATTCAAAATATGTAATTGATATCACCCACTGCATTCAATCTGAACAAAAGACAAATTTCCCTGTCAACTTCCTGGCTTACCTAAATTTCCAGTAGTTATTATCAAAATGTGATTTAAGGTATTAAGTATGTACTAATTAGCTTATAACTGAACAAAGTGGTAAATAAGTTACATAGCCCAATGTTATTTATCATTTCTTATGGTATATAGTAGATTGCAATTTCTTTAGAAAAGCTCCACCTGATCCTATGGTAATAGCCTTCAACAAATGAATATACTAAAATCTTGTATCAATTGGCAAAGCATTCTGTCAAGGAACCCTATTATGCCTCAGATAACCATTTGAGAATTCTCAGACAAACTCACTTTACTAAACTTCTGCACATCTTCAGTTACTCCTAAAACTTTCAATCCTATAAAACTTCCTTTTAAAATAATGTTAAGGTATCAGTACACTTAAATTTCATTGATATTAGCATAGGAAAAACACATCCTACTCTTAAGCCAAATAAATACTAAAAATGTATGAATCAGGAGTAATGAAAAGATTGTTTCAGAGAAGACTGAACCACCCATAATGCTTCACTTATAGGGTTCTAGGTTCTTGACTCATTAAATTCATACTTACAAGGAGGTGGCATATAATGCCGACATGATGAGAGAGAGGGCTGAGGAGGGGGCTGGGGCTGGGGCTGAGCAACCATGCTTGATCCGTAACCATCTATCGATAATGGCTGGCTCGGGGCGGCAGCAGCAGCCTGGTGGCCAAAGATTGCAGCCCGAGAGGAAGAAACAGGGCAGCAGGGGTCAAATGCAGAGGCGCCGTGAAAGCCACCACTTCCATGACTTCTGATGCCACTGCTGCTCAGGTCTACTGGCAATGCCTGCTAAATAAGGAGGAACTGCATTTTATCTTCTTAAAGATTCAGCTATGCGTTGATTCATGTTATAGTATAGAGGTAACCTAGAAATGTAATCTAGAAAAATAAAATCTTCAAATTACCTGAAAATGTGGTTCTTAGTATGAAGACCTATCAAACACCAAAACAACAAAACAGCTTGGATTTGTGAAAATTGTAGTGGTTTGATACTAATATCCTAAAATCCTAGAATCATTTTGTTAAGTTAACCTTAGGATCATAAAAGGATGAACAAATGCTAACATTATTTTAATGTCATTTCTCTTACATTATCTGCGTTTTACAAAGAGAAAAGGAAACTTAAAAATCACTTAACATAATTCTCCTTTACTCCCAAATTCAAACCAGTAATTTAGGACTCTTTAGAAAGCAAATTATCACCACTAAAAATGTTGAAGGTCTGGGATAAACTTGTCTATCCCAAGTTTTTAAACCATTATCACAAGTTTTTGACTAAAAGTCTAATAGTAAAAACAAATCTTATGTTATTCAAAAGGGGGAGAGGCCCTTAAGATTATTCAGGTTAATAGTGAATTCGTTTCAAATCACTTAAAAAAAAGAAGTACAATATAAACTAATTTCTTGACTTAGGAATGTGATTGGGGAAAAGCACAATTGGGAAATTAAACTCAATATGCCACTCAGTCATACAACACAATCATGAAACTGTAGTATCTTTAATTCCTCAGCTTTCCAAACTGTTCCCAAACAGGTCTCAAGTAGATACTATATAATGCTCTCTCATGAGTGTGCAGCTCATGTAAGTATGGAAGTCTACATAAGTTTCAAACTGTTACCTTCAAAATCTCACTCTGTTCACCTTCACATCCATTTATCACCACAGAATGTCTGGAATCCGGCTGATTTTTCTCAAGTTTTATTTATTCAGAGATGTGTAAACATGTTACAATTATTTTATACTAGAAAAAAAAACTCTGCCAAAAATTAAATGGCTCAGGCAAAACGGAATAATCACAATTGCTTTATCAAGCCAGCTGTATTACTAATTCACCAACAGACTATTCGGTGAATATTCATCTTTGACAGCTCTTTAACCAGTGTGGAAGAGGGCACCTCCCACCTTGACACTGATCAAAATGCACTGTGCTCGTGTTGAATTGAAAACTCTATGACTACCTAAAGATAACTTTCTAAGTTAAGTTCTAGTAAAAGGATGACCTGACTCAACCAAAACATTATGAAAAATCTTATATTTTATACAAAAGGAAATTTGGGGAAAGGGTTCCTATGCATATGTATTTTTTAAAAAAACTTTCAAAGCCAGGAGCCGGTGGCTCACGCCTGTAATCCTAACTACTGAGGAGGCTGAGATCTGAGGATCACGGTTCAAAGCCACCCCGGGCAGAAAAGTCCACGAGACTCTTATCTCCAATTAACCACCAGAAAACTGGAAGTGATGCTGTGGCTCAAGCGGTAGAGTGCTCCCCTTGAGCTAAAGAGCGCAGGGGTAGCGCCCAGAGTTCAAGCGCCATGACCGACAAAAAAAAACAACAAAAAAAAAACCAACTTTCAAAATTTGTCCTCCTACTAGTAGTTAGCTTCATTTTATATTTAAAGGGAAAATCTCTCCTTCTTGATTTGATTATTTTTCATTGGTATAAAGACCCAGAAAAGACTATCACTGAAATGCAAAAAGATGGTACTGGTACTTAAGAAAGGTCAGTTGATACAGAGAAGCAATTGTTCTGAATTTTCCTTTTGATTTTTTTACTCCCATATTGTGAGTCAGAATTACAGTTTTTCCCTGAAATAACAACTTTTATTTCTTTGAACACATAATATCTAGATTTATACCGTAATTATATTACACAGAGACAGCTCAGAAAAAGGTGAAACAGCGTATGTCATTTACTTCATGTGAAAACTAATACAATTTAATACCATTTCAACATTTTAAGCACTCACTATAATATCAACCAATTTACTAAATTGTAACCATTTGCTGGTATTTCAATTCTCTACCTGAAAAACTTCATTTGCTCCTGAGAAACTGGGTTACAGGCTGACCTTTGAGAAAGCTGTTTATTTCTTGTATGATAACCAGTGAGTGGGAAATTGAAAACACCAGGATAATTTTCCATTTTTCATAAATTACATTGACATAATAGTTTTCACACTTTGAAATATAATTCAAAAGATCAGGTTGAATTGCATTTAGCTAAAATCATCAAAAGTAATTTCAGAGTAAAAAGTTAATTTTAGATACTCTCATTTTCCATATTCTTATTTATCTTATTTGCAGTAATTCAAAACACCTGAAACCAATAAAGAATTAAATTTTAAAAAGTCACAAATCAAGCCCAGTACTGGGGTCTTAGGCCTTAAACCTAGCTACTCAGGAGGCTGAGATGGGAGGGTTGCAGTTTGAATCCAGCTTGTCAGGAAAATCCATGAGACTCATCTCCAGTTAACCACCAAAAAGTCAGAAGTAGAATTGTGGCTTAAGTAGTAGAGCACTAGTCTTGAGTTTAAAAAAAAGCTCAGAGACAGTGTCAGAGCTTTGAGTTCAAACCCTAGGACTGGAACCAAAAAAAAAAAAAAGCTACAACTCATCAAATGAAGTTATTTTTGCATGTAAGAATGACTTAATGCCAGGTGCCAGTGGCTCACGGCTGTAATCCTAGCTATTCAGGAGGCTGAGATCTGAGGATCACGGCTCAAAGTCAGTCCAGGGAAGGAAAGTCCATGAGACTATCACCAATTAACCACCAGAAAACCGTAAGTGGCGCTGTGGCTCAAGTGGTAGAGCACTGGCCTTGAGCTGAAGAGCTGAGGGACAGCACCCAGGCCCAGAGTTCAAGCCCCATGACCAACCAAAAAAAAAAAAACAAAAAAAACAACAAAGAATGACTTACTTACTTTATAAAACTTATCATTAGGATTTTCCCTCTCTTCCTGAAGGGTACTGCAATTAAATAAGGAAAGAACAAGGGGAGGAAGGAGAGGTGTGGGGAGACTAATTCATCAAAATTCACTTACCTGGTCATGGTAGCTGGAACTAGAACTACTATTTGCTCCACAAGGTGCTGGGACTTGCGGAGGTCTTTCCACAGGGCAGGTAGGATCACTAAAGGAAGGAGAAACTGGGACAGCAGGGTGGGGGGTATGATGGTGGTGGTGATGATGTTGAAAATGGTGGCTGTGCTGCTGAAAGCAACTTGTGTGCGGGTGTCCTAATGCATGGTGATTCTGTGATGACCCTCCGCACGGTGAGTGCTGGGGACAGCAGGAAGGTAACCTTGGCATTGCAGGAGGGCCAGGCTCCGTTACAGCACTAGATGCTGTTCTCCTTGAGTCATCTTGAAACAAAACAAATGTAAAGAAGATTAAAATCACAATTTTATCTTATGTTTTTTGGTGCCAGTCCTGGAGCTTGGATGCAGGGTCTAGGCACTATCCCTTAGATTGATTGATTGATTGATGCTTGAAACTACAGCTCCATTTCTGGCTTTTCTGTTGTTGCTTAGTTGGAGATAAAGAGTATCATAGACTTTCCTGTCTGCATTGGCTTTGAACCATGATCCTCAGATCTCAGCCTGAGATCGTGAGTAGGTAGAATTACAGGCATGAGCCACCAGCAGACCTGGCTCAAATCACAGATTTCTCCACAAAAATGTAGGTACTGTGTGTGTATAAATGAATAAAGAATTAGGAGGTGTTCTAGTGATTTTGAAATGGTGGCATATGTTTAACATATATATCATATAATTCTGACTAGTGGTCTCCACCAGATTTTCCTGAAAGTCTATATTCTTCCGGAGGTTTCTTATTTATCATGGTATACAACTTAGGCAATGATCTTCTTTTCCAACCTTATATTATTATTAATTACCAATGAAAGTGGGTTTAAAAAGTTCTACAATGGATGTTTTCCATTATATTCTACAACACAAAGAATCTTCTGAGTACCCTCAAACCAAATAGTATAAATCCTTCCTATGTAATTCAGCCTGCTATGTACTTCTAAAATATCACCTTCTTAAGCCATAACCACTTAACTCAGTATCTGGCTGAGTCTTTTTCAACTCCAACATCCTTTTTTCTCTTCCTCTGGTCTCTAAAGTCAGAACCAATGGAATACAAAAAAATGATGACTCTAATACTTACAAGCTAAAATGTGTCTTATAATCTAATAAACTGGTATGTATGGTAGGGCAGAACAGAATAGAATTATAGAGACCTAGGTTCCAATTCTGAAGGTGAACACATACTTAAAGCCAAAAAGTAATTAACAGTGTAGGTTCAAATACAAGACTGAACTTAAAGTGGTACCTACCTCAGGTACAAATTTGGCTCCTAGCTAAATACATGGCAACTTTCCTGCCATTCGGAAGCTGTTCATTTCTCAAACAGGCTTACAACCCAAAAAGAACTATTCTGCCATTCAAGACTTATTGTCCAGTTAGAGGTGTAACTCAAATGGCAGGCAGAGCCCTAGCCTAGCAAGTACAAACCTCTGGGTTCAATCAACACCACTAACAAAGAAAAAAATTAAAATATAAGGTTTCTGATCAAGTAAATAAAATGCTTCCTTTTATCATTAAAATTAAGCCATAAAGGGTCTACTGAAAATGAGATAAGTAGAAACCTCTACCAGGGAAATGAACTTCTTAACACAGTGACCAATATATTGTTGGTTAATGTGTTTTCAGGGTAATTTCAGGATGTTTCCTGCGATACATACATATTCATCCATCCACTTAGTAAATCTTACTCATAACAATGGTCCAGTAAATGATCTACAAGAGGCAATACTATAAAAAGGCAATGTAAGATACAGACATGAAAATGATAAAGTCCTGCCGAGTTCTGGTGGCTCATGCCTGTAATCCTAGCTACTCAGGAGGCTGAGATTTGAGGATCACAGTTCAAAGCCAGCCCGGGCAGCAAAGTCCATAAGACTCCTATCTCCAATAAACCACTAGAAAGCCGGAAGTGGTGCTGTGGCTCAAGCGGTAGAGCGCTCACCTTGAGCTGAAGAGCACAGGGACAGTACCCAAGCCCAGAGTTCAAGCCCCACGACTGACAAAAACAAAACAAAACAGAAAAACAGAAAATGAAAGTCCTGTACTTTAAAACAACGTATAGTGTTATCTGCCTTTGCTATTTATTTCTAGCAACTGGAAACATGCCTGTATAATATAGGTGGCTCAGTAAACACTTGTTAAGTTCACAAGGGAAAAGAGGCATGGATACGTGCTTGCAGCTAAGTGTCTAGGAGAGAGAGACTTCATCTTTGGCCCTTAAAGGAAAAAAAAGGTAGTTGGAGATATACAAAAAGTTCTTATGAAGATATTCTCCTCATAGTCCTGTGATGTACAAGTTTTAAATTTTGATAAAATCACTTAACTTTTTCTTGGCTGTTCATGTATTTGTTGTCAGCCATTTTTTCCCCTCAATCTGTCAGCTGGGCTATAATACTTTGGTCACATAAAACACATAAATTCAAATACAAAATCATACTAATTTTAATAAATAGTACTTTGCTTTCACAAGAAGTTTATAAAAATGTCAGAATACATTCTTGCTAATGTAGCTAAAACCTTAAGAACATAATACTTTTCCTAACAAAAGTAACCACAGAAAGTCTCCCAACACATGCCTTTTTACATACCCCCTGCAGAAGAACCAGCTGTACTATTGCTTGTAAGAGTAGCTGAAGTCTCTGCTGCTGTGGAAGGCTGGCTGCTGGAGACAGCGGGTGCAGTATCAGAGGCTTGCTCAGAGGTAGATGGGTTTGAATTGTTAATGGAAGCACTAGTAGTCTGTGAGTCCGCTCTTGCAGAAGTGGTTGGTACTACAGTAGGCTCTACAAGATACAAAATCTCTACTCAGCATTCATTACACAACAAATTAAATGAACTTAAGACATACAACATATTATAAAGAAAGCCTCTTTACAGGGCATGGGGATGCATTTCTGTGACTTCAATACTTGGGAAAAGCAAAGAACAAAGTCAGATCAACAAAGTTCAAGGTCAGCTTACATAGTAAGCCCCAGACCAGCCTGGTTACACAAGACTGTGTCTCAAAGAAAAAGTAAATAAAATAACAAAAAAATTAATGAGAAAGAAGAAAGCTCTTATTAAGCTAAACAGCAACATCCAAGCAACATATTATTCATATATACAACTATATTTATACAACTACTAATATATACAACTATAAATATAACCATATATATACAACTATAAATATGAGCTATAAATATAACTATTACACTACAAAAACTCTATACATATATATACAATCAAGTAAATTAGGTAATTTAAAGGTTTTTCACGAACCTTTAACACCAATAGCTCAGACCTAAAATCCTACCCAGGAGGCTGAGGTCTGGACGATTAAAGCCAGCATAGGAAGAAAAATGTGTAAGACTCTATCTCTATAAAAACATAGAAAGCTGGGCAGGAGTTGTGGCTCAAGTGACAGAGTACTAAGAGCAACCAAGTAAGTTAGCAAGCCTGGGGTTCAAATCCTAGTACGAGTACACACCAAAAACTTTTTCAAGTAAGACAAGGCAGAATGCTTGCCTAGCCTGCTTGAAGCCATAGGTTCAATCCCCAGCAACAAAGAAAAAAAAAAGGTTTTCAGGAAAATTCTTAAGTTTTCTGATCTATCACAAAAAGCAGTAAAAGTTCCTCTGCTATGTAAATAAACATGGCTACACTATTAAAACAACTTTCTTTTTCTTTTTCTGGTGTATATGTATGCCTGTCCTACGGCTGGAATTCAGGGCCTAGATGCTGTCCCTGAGTTTTTTGCTCAAAGTTAGCAATCTATCACTTGAGACACAGCTCCACTTCAGGCTTACTTGGTAGTTAATTGGAGATAAGTCTCACAGACTTTTTTGCTTAGACTGGCTCCTCAGATCTCAGCCTCCTGAGTAGCTAGGATTACAGGTGTGAGCCACTGACTTACAGCCAAACCATACTTTCTTAGGCCCAGTATAAATTCTATTGCTTAGAAGGCAATTCTAATTTACCACTTCAGTATGACTAAGGATATGTTACTTAAACACTCTCTATCTCAACAGTCCATGGGGAAACAATTCTGTGAATTTCCTTCACAAACTGAAACTACCCACAATGTATTTCTTTCACATGATCCTTTGTAGCAATCCTTTAAGGGAAGGTGGCTGAGTGGTAGAGCACTAGCCTTAAGCTGAAGAGCTGAGGGACAGCGCCCAGGCCCAGAGTTCAGGTCCCACGACAGGACCCCCCCCCCCAAAAAAAAAATTAGCTGTGATTTTTAATATCTATTCTAATCTCATGAAAATACCTGTTTTTAAGTTTTTGTAAATGTAAATAACCATATAAATAAAACGTGAGTAAAACATTCATGAGTAGTAGTATTCAGCAGTACTCTTAACAAAAAATATGAACAAGTTAAAATCTAAATATCTGGGGCTGGTAATGTGTATCAGTGGTAAAGTGCTTGCCTATTATGCATGAAGCCCTGAGTTCAATTCCTCAGTACCACATAAACAGAAAAAACAAGAAGTGGCACTGTGGCTCAAGTGGTAGAATGCTAGCCTTGAGCAAAAGAAGTTTAGGGACAGTGCCCCAGCCCTGAGTTCAAAGCCCAGGACTGGCAAAAAAAAAATCTAAATATCTAAATGATTGCTTAAAATATTTCACTTTAAACTATATTGAAAATGAATTATACAATCCGTGGATGAGGATGGAAGGGAAAAACTGGGAGAGAGCAAGGAAAGGGGTGACACTGTCCAAAAAGAAATGTACTCATGCCAGGTGCTGGTGGCTCATGCCTGTAATCCTACCTACTCAGGAGATTGAGAGCTGAGGATTGTGGCTCAAAAGCCAGCCCAGGCAAGGAAACACTTATATCCAATTAACCACCAGGAAATAGGAAGTAGAGCTGTGGCTCAAAGTGATACAGTGCTAGCCCTGAGTTCAAGCCCATAACCCCCTCCAACACACACAAAGAAATGTATTCATTATCTGACACATAACTCTAATCCCTCTGTACATCACCTTTATAATAATATTTTTTTTAATTTTTTAAGATATTTCACTTTAACCGGGCACTGATTGCAATCCTAGCTACTCATGAGGCTGAGATCCAGAGGATCTAGGTTAGAAACCAGCCCAGAGAGAAAAGTCTTAAGAGACCCTCCAATCTCCCAATTAACCAGCAAAAAGCTAGGGTAGAGGTATGATTCAATCTCCCAATTAATCAGCAAAAAGCTAGGGTAGAGGTATGATTCAATCTCCCAATTAACCAGCAAAAAGCTAGGGTAGAGGTATGATTCAATCTCCCAATTAACCAGCAAAGAGCTAGGGTAGAGGTATGATTCAAGTGGCAAGAGTGCCAGTCAAATAAATACCAAGTACAAACCCTGAGTTCACATCTTGATATAAAAGATGTTACTCCATTTTATCAACTTACCATCTTCATCAACAGTAAGGTCCACAACTTCTGCTGCGTTCTGCCTCAAGGGCTGTATAACAGTAGAAATTCGACTGCGGTTTCGTGGCTCCTGTGTCCGCCCTGTATGAGAACTTGAACCTTGGCTCCAATGAGACCTGGAGTGCCCCAGGGTTGAACGAGACCTTAAAGGATACCAGTATCTTAGTAAATACAAATAAAGGACTGATGTTGTAGTTACTCCTAGAATCCATAGGCCTTTCCTATAAAAATGAGACCTTCATACAAGATTTATGAAAAGAAATAAGGGTAATAATATTTTAAATCACTAGCACAATGCCTGGCACGCAAAGTTTGTTGAATTCATTCATGAACTTATTAAGCAAAGTATATAATAAAATATGGCTGAGAATGTGGCTTAGTGGTAGAATACATGAAGCCTAGCATACATGAAGCTCTGGAATCGATTCCTCAGTACCACAAACAGAAAAAGCCAGAAGTAGCACTGTGGCTCAAGTTGTAGAGCACTTGTCTTGAGCACAGAGAGGCTTAAGGACAGTGCCCAGGCCCTGAGTTCAAGACCCAGGACCAGCACACACACACACAAACACACACACACACACACACACACACACACAAATGCAATGTTAAATCAATCCATAAAAAACATAGGATTCTGTTTCTTTTATTTTGAGTATTCACCTGGATTATAACAACTGTTTACAGTATTGTGTAAACACTGTTATAGTAATGCTCAAAATGATTCACCAAAAATCAAGAAATTTTAAAAGAAAATAGGAACATGGCAATCCTAACTATTTGGGAGTCTGAGATCAAGAGACTCAAATTCCAGTCATCCCAGGCAGAAAACAGTTTCAGAGAGTACATCTCAATGGAAAGAAGCTGGGTGTAATGGTATACAACTGTCATCCAGCTACGACAGAAAGGGTTAAATAGAGGGACAGAGGTCCAGTTGCACCTGGGCAAAAAGCAAGATCTTATCTCCAAATTAACCAGTGCAAAATGGCTAGAGGAATGGCTCAGCAGTAAAGCACCTGACTAGTAAGAAACTCATGGTGTGCATTTAATAATGTCCACATGATGTTGCATGGTTACCCCAGGCTGGATTTGCAAAAATTAACTTCAAGATTTGTAACCTAAGCTAGTAAGTTAGTACTGTCCCAAAATAATAAAAGAATTAAAAAGGCATTAGCAGAAGGACTTACTATTTTGGTAGACATAGGAAACATCTCTAGTTTGAGCTGCTTTAAGTTTATTAAGCTTTATTATGTGATTGTTGGTATGAGGAATTGAACTCAGAGGCCTCACACTTACCTTGTTTGCTCAAGGCTGGAATTCAACCATGTGAGCCACATCTCCAATCATTTTTTGCTGGTTAATTGAAGATGAATTCTCCTGGGCTTTTCTGCCCAGGCTTGCTCTGAATACTGATCCTTAAGTCTCAACCTCCTGAGTAGCTAGGATTACAAGTATGAGCCACTGATGCTCAACAATGTATATGAAAGCTAAGAGTGTAAGACTCTGGTTGGAAATGAAATGTGGCTTTAGTAGTAGAGTGCCCTGGGTTGAAGCCCTGGGTTCAATTCCTCAGTACCATATACAAAGAAAAAGCTGAAAGAGGGGCTGTAGCTCAAGTGATAAGAGTACTATCCCTTGGGGGTGGGCGGGGGAGGATGGGATGGGAAGGGGAAACAAAGGAGGAGACTACAATGCTTAATAAGAAATGTACTCATGGGCTGGGAAGTTGGCTTAGTGGTAGAGCGCTTGCCTTGCATGCATGAGGCCCTGGGTTCGATTCCTCAGCACCACATAAGCAAAAAGAAAAAAGCCGGAAGTGGTGCTGTGGCTCAAGTGGTAGGGCACTAGCCTTGAGCTGAAGAGCTGAGGGACAGTGCTCAGGCCCAGAGTTCAGGCCCCACAACCAGACCAAAAACAAACAAACAAACAAACAAGAAATGTACTCATTATCTTGCTCATGTAATTGTAACCCCTCTGTACAGTATTATCACAATAAAAAAAAAAAAAAGTACTAGCCTTGAGCAAAACAAACTCAGGGACAGGGCCAGGCCCTGAGTTCAAGCCCCAGGGCTAGCAAAAAAAAAAAAAAAAGCCCTGAGCTCAAGCCCAATATTCCCTTACACCCTTACACACACACACACACTCATTTGAGTGAAATTCATTTAATTAGATGAAATTAGTGTGAGAAGACTAAAAGTTATTACATGCATCTTCACTTGGTGATATTTCTATTATCACAAATTTTACTAGAATCAACAGATAATACTTTGTAATAATCAGGTAACAGAATGGGTAATTTTTACATCAAGCTCGGTATTTTATGTAGCTTGTACTGTCCCAATATTTATGTATTACACACATCTAAATTCCAAAGGAAGTTGTTCTCTGTATTAGGAAACAATTCTTTAAAATACCAAGCAAGTTAGTTTATGTAGAGCAATTATAGTACTTAAAAAAATACTATCCCCCTAAAGAGTCTAGTTCAAATGGGCAGGAATAAGGTTATACAACAGTGTATCTTTATTTTATTAAGTCCCTACCACTAGATCAGTCTAAAACAGTCTGGTGCTTTGAGTACAGAGTTACTCTAACTAGATTTCTAACAGCATTGTCAAGTGGCAGAATGTCTGCCTAGCAACTGCAAAGCCTTAAGTTTAGAGCCTAGGGCTGGAAAAAAAATTGTGAATGTCACATATACATTAAGGAATTAAAATCTCACCTGTAGCTTTCTCCCACTGTAACGATTTCCACTTCACTGTCAGTTGAGGTAACATTGATTTCTTCATTGGCAGTGACCTGGGGGGCGAAGGAAGTTTCTATCACCACAACATCTTCATCAATACTTCCTGCAACAAAAGGGGAAGCAAACAAAACATTTTAAAAGGCATCTGTTTGTCAGCTAGCTGCTAAGGGGAAAGTTCATTTTTACTTTTGAAGACTGTGAAATTCCTACAAAACTAAGAAAGAACAGGTATACCATGATTGCTTTTGCATAAGATATTTAGTGAATTAGGCTGGGAGGGTGGCTCAGTGGTAGAGTGCTTGCCTTGCACGCATGAGGCCCTGGGTTCAATTCTTCAGCACCACATAAGCAGAAAAGGCTGTAAGTGGTGCTGTGGCTCAAGTGTTAGAGCGCGAGGCTTGAGCTGAAAAGCTCAGGGACAGTGCCCAGGCCCAGAGTTCAAGTCCCAGGACTCACCCCCCCCCCCCCCGGGCCAAAAAAAAGATACTAAGTGAAGAGTTCTGAAGAAAGAGTTAGAGGCACTGTAACTTCAGAAACGGTAAATGTAAATGCAAAGATCACAAATGCTCCCATTTGTGCTTTGGGTATGGCTTAAGCACTGGAGTGCTTGCCTGGTAAACGCAGGCACTAAATTCAAGGCTCAATACGGCCAACAAGAATAACAAAGACAAGAGGGGGAGGAGGAGGGAGATGGGAAGGGATGGGAAGGAGAAACAAAGGAGGAGGTAACAATGTTTGATAAGAAATGTACTCATTACCTTGCCCATGTAATTGTAACCCCTCTCTATGGTATTTTCACAATGAAAAATAAATAAACAAATAAAAAATAAAAGAATAACAACGACAGAAGTGGGAGCAAAAGCAACTTGTAGCAGGAAGACACTCTCAAATAATAACCAGAGCCCAGACACTGACTGGTTATGATACTGAAATTAGTTTACGTAAACACTCTGAGCTTTGGAATTGGAATCAACTCTAAATTCCAAATGTTTAATGTGTAGTTGGCAAGTCTTTTTAAGTTTGAAGTTTCCGTTTCTTGACTGGGCTGGATGGCACAAAGAATATGTTCACAAACTAGAAATGTGTACTTAAAAGTAGGTGAAAGAAATTGAAAGAAACTGAAAGAAATTGCAGAAGACACTAGGAAATGGAAAGACCTCCCATGCTCCTGGATAGGCCGACTTAATATAGTAAAGATGGTGATACTTCCAAAACTAATATACAAATTCAATGCAATTCCTATTAAAATCCCAATGACGTACATCACTGAAATACAGAAAACAGTCCAAAAATTTATATGGAACAACAAAAGACCTAGAATAGCCAAAACAATTCTAGGGGATAAAGACAATATGGGAGGGCTATCCATGCCGAACTTCAAACTCTACTACAGAGCTATAATCACAAAGACAGCATGGTACTGGCACAAAAACAGACCCGAAGACCAATGGAACAGAATAGAAGATCCAGATATAAATCCACAGGCCTACAGCCAGCTGATATTCGACAAAGGAGCCAAAGACATACAATGGAAGAAACACAGCCTCTTCAACCGCTGGTGCTGGGAAAACTGGGCAGCCACATGCAGAAAACTAAAAGTGGACCCCAGCCTATCACCATGCACCAACATCAACTCAAAATGGATTAAAGACCTTAACATTAAACCTGAATCTCTGAAACTACTGCAGGACAGAGTAGGAGAGACACTTGAACTAATAGGCACAGGAAGGAACTTCCTGAACAGAGTCCCAGGGTCACAACAAGTTGGAGAGAGACTCGACAAATGGGACTACCTTAAAATAAAAAGCTTCTGCACAGCTAAATCTATCGCAACTAAGCTAGAAAGACAACCAACTAATTGGGAAAAAATATTTACCAGCAATATATCAGACAAGGGGTTAACATCCTGTATATACAGGGAACTCAAGAAACTAATCCCTCCCAAACCTAACAAACCAATTACTAAATGGGCAAGGGAGCTAAAGAGGGACTTCTCAAATGAAGAAATAAAAATGGCAAAGAAACACATGAGGAAATGTTCATCATCCCTGGTGGTGAAGGAAATGCAAATAAAGACAACCCTGAGATACCACCTTACCCCAGTCAGAATGTCCCACATCCACAAATCAGCCAACGACAAATGCTGGAGGGGATGTGGAGAAAGAGGAACCCTATTACACTGCTGGTGGGAATGTACACTTATACAACCACTTTGGAAAGCAGTCTGGAGGGTCCTTAGAAAGCTAAAGATTGACCTCCCTTACGACCCAGTCATACCACTTCTAGGCATCTACCCTGAACAACAGGAACCAATATACAAGGACACGTGCACCTCCATGTTTATTGCAGCACTGTTCGCAATAGCTAGGATATGGAAACAACCTAGGTGCCCCACCACAGATGAATGGATCCAAAAATTGTGGTATCTATACACAATGGAATATTATGTAGCCATTAGAAATGACAAAATAATGGCATTTGCAGGGAAATGGATGGAGCTAGAAGGAATCATGTTGAGCGAGGTAAGCCAAGAACGAAGAGACAAACGGTACATGGTCTCCCTCATAAGTGGATGCTAAATCCAAAAGGTTAGGTGATACGACAAAACTAACAGGACTTAAGAAACAAAGAACTCCCGCTCATCTGGTTGAACCACTACTAAATATCCTCATGCTGCTGATCACAAATATGGTATATAACATGTGAACACTGTTATATATTACAGACTGTGGTAGACAATTTGCTCCAGGGAAGTTAGAATGAACTTGTGACTTTGAAATTATGTAATCATTTAATCACAATCAAAAAAAAAAAGAACCTCGGGGAAGGGAGGGAGGGAGGGGATGGTAGGGGGAAAAAAAAAAAAAAAAAGATAATCTATAATTTACCATATTAAAGATCACTTGAAATAAAAAAAAAAAAAAAAAAAAAAAAAAAAGTAGGTGAATATACTGGGCGCTGGTGGCTCACGCCCGTAATCCTAGCTACTGAGGAGGCAGAGATCTGAGGATCGTGGTTCAAAGCCAGCCCGGGCAGGAAAAAACATCGTGAGACTCTTATCTCCAATAAACCACTAGAAAACCGGAAGTGGTGCTGTGGCTCAAGTGGTAGAGCACTGGCCTTGAGCTGAAGAGCTGAGGGACAGCACCCAGGCCCAAAGTTCAAGGCCCATGACCGACCAAAAAAAAAAAAGTAGGTGAATATATGCACTCTATGACTTGAGCCCTGTCCCAAGAAAATACTGTTAATATTCTTCATAGGAAAAATCTTAACCACATATTGCTTGTAAAGTTAGTGTTTATACTGACAGGTGACAGTAATGAACTCAGAAGAATGATTTTGTTTTTCAGCTATGTATGTGTGTGTATATGTCTGCTGAGACCTAAGGGTAGTGGTTTAAAGCCAGCCTGGGCAGGCACGGTTCTAAGAACCTTATCTTCAATTAACCAGCAAAGAGCTGTAGCACAAAAAGTAGAGCACCAGCCTTGAACAAAAAAGCAGTGCCCAGGTCTTGAGTTTAAGTCCCATACCAAAAAAGAAAAAGGAATGAGCCAGATAGCAATAACTCACATCTATAATCCTAGACTACTGGATTACAGTTCAAAGCTAGTCCAGGAGGAAAATTCTGTGAGGCTTGCCTCCAAAATAACTACCAAAATGCCACTGGAGTGTTATTCAAAAGGTAGATTAGGGCTGGGAAGGTGGCTCAGTGGTAGAGCGCTTGCCTTGCATGCTCGAGGCCCTGGGTTCAATTCCTCAGCACCACATAAGCAAAAAGAAAAAAGCCAGAAGTGGTGCTTTGGCTCAAGTGGCAGAGCGCTAGTCTTGGGCTGAAGAGCTGAGGGACAGCGCCCAGGCCCAGAGTTCAGGCCCCACGACCAGACCAAAAAAAAAAAGAGTCTCACAGACTTTCCTGCCCAGGCTGGCTTTGAACCAGTACTGTTAAGAATGAACCCAAAATAGTTTGTAAATCTAAACATATGGAATCTGACATTACAGGTACAATTGGCCAGGATTTATTTGGAAGCTACTGCGATTATGCTTTTATAGTATATACAACACAAAGCAAATGGGTATTTGATATTAAGAACAAAGGATTTCAGCACAAGTAAAGAGAAAAATTAAAATTTGAATTAAAAACTAATCCTTGCTTGAAATGAAAATATTCACTTAAATTAACAGTTTATCTATTTCTAAAATATTTTTTTTTAAAAACCATAGTCTTGATATATAGCTCTGGCCAGCCTTGAACTCTGACCTCTAATGCCTCATCCTCCTAAATAAAGGAATTACATACATGTGCTATCACACTCATATCTTTCTAAAATCTTTACTTCTTTAGCTCAGCTCTTTTCAAGCCAAAAAGACCAGGCAATAAGAAGCCAGAAGAGCTATAGTCTCTAAATACCAATCCCCAGTAAAAGTAAGTCAGGACTACTTGAAGAAATAGCTGTTCCGGTCTAGAACAGGAAATGTATATATAGCATGAATCTGAATCATCTTGTCTGTACATTAGATAGTTCCATTTTTTTTTTTTTGCAGGTCATGGGGCCTGAACTCTGGGCCTGGGCGCTGTCCCTCAGCTCTTCAGCTCAAGGCTAGCACTCTACCACTGGAGCCACAGCGCCACTTCCGGCTTTTTCTGTTTATGTGGTGCTGAGGAATCGAACCCAGGGCCTCATGCTTGCAAGGCAAGCACTCTACCACTGAGCTACCTTCCCAGCCCAACATTAGGAAGTTCTAAAGAAGTATTAGGATTGCATCGTCTGTACCGTAACTCCTACAACTACTATCCCAATATTAATTCCTGCTTTTGTAATGTTGTCTTCCTGAATGTCTTTTCCCTGTGCTGCTTTTCTTTTTCCTTTTTGGTAGTACTGGGGTTTGAAACTATAAACCTCACATCTGCTAATAAGCAGGCACTCTACTACGTGAGCCATTCTACCAGCCCCTTTATGTGTTGTCCTTTTCAAGATGGGGGTCTCACTTCATGCCTGGTCTGGCCTGGGCTCTGAACTACTACTTGTGCCTCCCATCTAGTCATCATATTTCCTCTGTGGCTTTGAATGCCAGCCACTGGTTGAGATGGAGTCTCTCAAGGTTTTATGCCTAGACTGACCTTGAACTGTGATCCCTCAATTTCTGCCTCCCAAATGGCTGTGATTACAGGCCTGAGCCTCCACACTCAGTTTTGTATTGTCTTTCAAAGTACAGAAGTTCTTCACCTGGAAAAAATTCAACCTGCTAATTTTTTAAAGTTTATGATTTTTATATCTTATTACATCTTTCCCTCACATAAAATAAAAAAGATTTTCCCTGGGAATGTGCCTTAGTGGTAGAGTGCTTGCCTAGCATGCATGAAGCCCTGGATTTGATTCCTCAATACCATGTAAACAGAAAAAGTCAGAAGTGGTGCAGTGGCTCAAGTGCTAGCCTTCAGCAAAAGCAGCTCAGTGCCCAGGCACTGAGTTTGAGCCCCAGGATTGGCAAAAACAATAACAAAAACAAATTTTTACTTGCAGGTCAAAAAAAAACCCAAAAAACAATTTTTAGATTTCATGTTTTAGGTTTACAAAGTATTTTAGGTTCATTCTTAACAGTACAGGTATGAATCAAAGCTAAAAAAAAAATTTTGGGAGGTGGTGGGATGGGTCCGGTTGTGGGGCCTGAACTCTGGGCCTGGGCGCTGTCCCTCAGCTCTTCAGCTCAAGGCTAACGCTCTACCATTTGAGCCACAGCGCCACTTCCGGCTTTTTTTTCTTTTTGCTTATGTGGTGCTGAGGAATTGGACCCAGGGCCTCATGCATGCAAGGCAAGCGCTCTACCACTGAGTCACCTTCCCAGCCCCCCCCCCAAATTTTTTGTTTTTATATAAATAGCCAGCAGGATTTATTTAAAGGAACATCTTTTCTCCACTGAACTGCCTCGGCCATTGCTGAAAATGTTCTATTTTTAGTATCAATTTCATACTGTCATCAGTGCAATTTTAGAATAAATGCTGAAGTGAGGTGCTATAAAAATAAATAAATAAAATCGCTAGGGTGGTTATTCAGAGAATACAGAGTACAAAATGCTCACAATGGCCAAGGATGAAATCATCATTTTGATGAGCATCAAAAAAGAATATTAAACTGCAGCTCTCCAGGTGTCAGTCTCTTACTAGGAGTGAACCACTGGAGCTGAGCTGGGCCAAGATCCTGTCTCAAAAATAACCAGAGCAAGTCGGGCACCAGTGACTCACAACTGCAATTCTAGCTACTCAGGAGGCTGAGATCTGAGAAATGCAGTTCAAAGCCAGCTCAGGTTCCTGAGTTTCTCATCTCCAATTAAACACCAAAAAGCCAGAAGTGGAACTGTGGCTTAAGTGATAGAGCAGTAGCCTTGAGCAAAAAAGCTAAGGGACTGTGCCTAGGCCCTGAGTTCAAATTCCAGGACTGGAACAAAACAAACAATAACCAGAGCAAAAAGGACTATAGATATGGCTCAAGCAGTACAACACTGCCTAGTAAGCATGAATCCCCGAGTTCAAGCCCCAGTATCATTTTTAAAAAGCTAGTTAACATATTACAGAAGTATAGAAAAGAATATTTTTACCTTGAATCAGCAACTCATCTAAAATATAATCTAATCATGTGGGTTGTGAGGCTTGAACTCTGGGCCTGGGCGCTGTCCCTCAGCTCTTCAGCTCAAGGCTAGCACTCTACCGCTTGAGCCACAGCGCCACTTCCGGCTTTTTTCTGCTTATAGGGTGCCGAGGAATCAAACCAAGGGCCTCATGCATGCAAGACAAGCACTGTACCACTGGGCCAACTCCCCAGCCCCAAATGATTATTCTTAAAAAAAAAAATAAAAAAATACTGACCTTACCCTAAGAATTTACCTTGGAACTAGAGTCACAGTTTAATATTGCAGATGAGTTTTTACATGGTTTAAAAGTAAATTGTCACCTAGGTACTGGTGCCTCATGCCTGCCTACCTACTCTGGAAGCAAAGATTTGAGGATCACATTCCCAAGCCAGCCCAAACAAGAAAGTATGAAACTCTTATTCCAATTAACCATCAAAAAGCAGGAAGTAAAGGTATAACTCAAATGGGAGAGTACCAGCTTCGAAGAAAAAGCCAAGACAAAACAATGAGATCAAGCCCCAGTACTGCACCAAAAAAAAAAAAAAAGTTAATAGAACTTGATACTACTTTTAAAAGAACCGGAGCATGATGGCTCAGGCCTGTAATTTTAGCTGCTTGGGAGTTGGAGATAAAGGCATTGCATTTTGCGGTTAGCTTGGCCAAAAGAAGCTCACAAAACTCTTCTCAACTAATGATAGGCTGTTATCCCAGCTACAGGGAAGTACAATGGCTGGCAAGGTAGTGCACGCTTGTTATTTTCAAGGACACTGGGAAGTTAAAATAGGAAGATCCTAGGCACGGCCAGCTTGGGAATAAAGTGAGATTCTACTTAAAATTAAGCAATGAAAAAGGGGCTCAAGTGTTAGAACACCCACGTAGCAAGCACAAGGCCCTGAGTTCAAGTCCCAGTTACAAAAAAATAAAAATGTCTGTCTCAAATGCACTAAGAAACAGAAACAGAAAAGTAGGTACAAGGGCAATACAACAGATTTTATGTTTTACTTAAAGCTTCTCACCTGAGGGAGCAGCTGGGTTGTTTTGGTGGTTTTCACTGGCAGAAACGAACAAATCCTCTTCTCCTTCGGTTGATGAGCTGGAAGAGGATTCACTGCTGAGGTCATTCTCACTGGAACTACTAGAACTGGGTAACAATGCATATTTTTTTCGGGCTAACACTTCCCTTTTTTTCCTCTGCATTAATATCCTCTCTTTCTGTTTCTGTGTCCTCTGTGAGGAATTACTTTTTATGAATCTTTTTCTGCATGGAAGTCTCCTTAATGAACTGCTGTGGAAACAGGGTCTTTTCATTAATAATCCTGATACGGTCTCTGTCTCAGTTCGAGGCCACTTCTGGGACCGGGCACTGTGACTTCTGGTTTTTGTACTCAAAACAGGCTGGGAATGTCGTACTGAGACTTCTTTATCCTCATCTGAAGTCACAGTATCAGAGTCTCCAAAATGCAGACTAGATGAAGGAGAGGACAGACAATCACTGAAAGACGAGTCATGATCATCTTCACTTGCTGTTTCTAGGTGTTGCCTCAACCCTAGGATTCCCTGATTTTCTTTAACACAATTCTGCATATATGAGGGGCCAGCCTGCTGGCTTTTGCGTTTTTTCCTCACACTTTTTTCTCGTTCTTGCTGGTTCCCATTCATGTCCTTCTCTTGTTTCTGAGGATCATCACACAAGTGAGAGAATTCATTCCCCACTTTACTATGAATCATCTCAACTCCTGAAGGAAAACTTTTTGCTGCCCCAATGGGCTGTGGGGGCAAGAGGATCCCTTTTAGACTCTCCTGTGTCTTTGGTGCATCAGAAGGAACTTCACTCTTCATATCCACGTTTAAGATAAAGAGCTTGTTACATTCAGGAGTCCACTGACACATGGGAAACTTTAAGGCAGGCCTAGAAGATACAATTAGATATGTGAAATAGTTTAACATGCTTTATCATATTATCTAACTCAAGACTTCCAAAATTCCCCCTAAGAATTGCCCTAGCCACTAACTAATCAATTAGGTATGAATCATTTACTGCTCTTGTAAAATATTTTTCTCTAACACTTCTATGATAATTTGGAGATAGGTTGTAATGACCATGGAAACTTGTATTAACCTAAAGCTGGTCTTGTAAAACTTGCTAGCTTTGACAATACAACATACTTAATCAAAAAGCAAACAATTTCTTCAAAGCTAATTTTAATAAATCATAATTCAAAAGATCACCACTGGTCTTTTGAATTTAATTCCACCACTGAAATCAGTCTGTCAAGGAGACACTAGCATTCCCATGTTCATTCCAGCACTACTCCCAATAGCCAAGAAATGGAAATAACCTATGTACCTATGTGGTCTCTACGTACACTGGAATAGCAGTCATAAAAAGCATGAAATCTTGTCATTTATGATTATATGGAAAGAAATGGAATAAACCCGGGCAGAATGGCAAGTACAATATGAACCTAAAAGGTGATCTCAGAGAAGATGAGAGTAATGGTTTCTGGAGGATAGGGAAAAGTAGCACTCTACCAATATGTACAGGTTTTATTTCTTTATATGATTTAAAAGAAATTTATCTTAAAACACATTAAAAATAAAGTACAAAAAACTTCAACACATTTTCCCTTGTTATAATATTTTAACAAAATATATTACTTTTTTTTTCTTTTTTAAAGCTTTTTGCAGCACGGTGGTTTGAACACAGGGCCTTGTGCTCACTAGGCAGTCTTTTTACCCTACTTTTCTCCTAAGCAAATTAAATATTGTCCGTACATTTAGATGTGTGATATAATGGATTACTGTAATGATCTGGTATGGTACAGCCTCTTTGTCCTATAGTTCCTCCTTTCACACTACTGTACTCTCTAATAAGTATCTGAACTGTGATAGACAGGAGGACACAATTACATTTCAGTTTCAGAAAGATTAGATACAAGACCATGAGTTGCTAGAGATCATTCCATTAATAAGCAACACAATAGGAAACAAAATCAGACTTCCTAATCTAAGTGTATCTAAACCAACTGACCTTGAAAATTTTGATTCACTGGACTGGGAATGTGGCTTTAGTAGTAGAGGGCTTGCCTAGCATGCATGAAGCCCTGGGTTCCTCAGTACCACATAAGCAGAAAAGGCCAGAAGTGGCACCATGGCTCAAGTGGTAGAGTGCTAGCCTTGAGCAAAAGAAGCTTAGCGACAGTGCCCAGGCCCTAAGTTCAGTGCCAGGCCCAGGACTGGCAAAAAAAAAAAACAGAAAACATCTATTTCAATGTAATCCCACAACTACAAGAGGTGAGCAATGGAAAAGTAGTAAGCATTAAGATTCAAATGGAATGTTCATTAGAATGGCAGCTAATGGGACAAATGGAGAGCAGTACTAGGCAAGGTATGAAAATCTCAATGATGATAATATATTTTTGTTTGTGCCCCAAGGCTTCACTAATTTTCCCTGATCTCCAGACTTAATGGATCTTCTGCTTCAAATTTCCAAGGTGATGAGACCACAGGAGTGTGTCACCAACTGGGTTAGCCTATTTTTTAACTAAAGTTTGTATTATATATAACATACACACATTCTCAGTTTATAGTTAGTGAACTTTCACACAGTATTTATATAAGCAGCACCCAGATGAAGAAACATCAAGATCCCAGAAATCTTCTTGAAGTCACCACCACCAACCAAGAGTTGTCACCACTGTCCTAACTTTAATAATGCATGTAATTTGCCCTCAATACTTTTAAATCACTGCCAAGAGAGAAAAATCATTATTTCTGCAGCAAGCTTTTCCTTCTCTAAGGACAGCTATCAAAATACATAATCTTACAATATTATGATGCAACTAACTATATTATCAGAACAAATCACAGCAAAATGAGCAATAGCCTCAACCTACAGAAAGCTATTAAAACACCTATTTCCTATTACTATTATTATTATTATTATTTACAAGGATAGGTGGTGCTGTATTCCAAATCAGCCACCCAGGCCCATGTAGAGCTGAGAGCACAACTGGTGATAAGTTAGGAGCACAAACTGAGTGACTAATGTAATGACAGTGACAAAGCAGGAACAGGCAAGACATTCTAAAATGTTTCTCAATATGTGAAACTTGAAATTCTCATTATTACAGTTGCATTTTCAGTGCATCACACTGTTAACTGAAAAGGACTGAAAAGAGCCAAAACTGGAGGCAGAAAAAAAGGTTACATATACAGTGAGAAAATACAAAGATAGATAATAAAGACTAGCAATTGGAATACAAGCATGAAACTCAGAGACCATAAAAGAACCATCAGGACTTTGGATAAGAAACAACTACTTCTCCAATTCTACTGCAACTGAGTCATAGTTTTCTAATAATCCCTTTAATATACATGCAAATACTCTTAAGAATATATATCAGATCATATTACACTACTAGTTAAAAATCCTTCAGAGGTTTACAAATGGTTAATAAAAATAAAATCCCAACTAAGCACTGATCTGTTATACACTGGGAAATTATGTATGATTCAAGGAATGGTTATAGGAAAATCATTCAGTTGTGTCATATTCCCAAATTACTACTGGGAATTTTGCAAATCAACATATTTACTATGTTAAAATCTTCAGCAATAATGAATTTAAAAACTGAGCACATAGATGTCCCAGGATATGTATGTGTATGCATGTTTTCTCCATTTCTTGTGACACAAAGAAGAAAGAAAATCTATTATTTAAGAAGAACAACAACTAAGTAGTACTTCAAATCACCAAAGACTACATTAAATACTACAATTATCTAAGTGGGAATTAAGACAAAACACTAGAATTAAGTCACTTGTTCTTAATACCAGCTAGATATCTTTGGTCCCAACTTTTAGTTTGGTGCTGAACCACAGGAAATCATCTTTTTGGGAGCATAAGACAAACCTCTGTATCTGTGTGTTAAGGAGTGTCTGTATCCCCTGTTACAACCCAATAGGTCAAAATGTGACTACCAGTCACATTATTCTGTCATGTGTCTTAATTGGTAAAGTGCCTGTGTCTAGTAAGCATGAGCTAAAATCTCAGTACCTTTTTTTTAAAAAGCAGGTTCACAGAGACAAACGGCACATATTTTCTCTCATGTGTGGACATTATATGTAAAATTATAAACATACATAAAAACATCAATTTAAAAAGCAACATTCTGAAGGCTATTGCTAAACCAAGAAGAAAGCTAAGAAACCAAATTTGTTGACTCCCTGATCTTGGATTTTAGCCTCCATTAGAGAAAAAGTCAATCTGTTTTATGAACTGATACACAGTGCAACACATTCTGAATATGTATGCTACAATGTTCCAAGTATTATAAATACAGAGATAAGTAAGACACAGAGCAGATTAAGAAGTCTCGTGGCGATGGAAACAAATCAGGAGGTAAGTAAAGTACAGTATAATAGTACAGTTTATTATAAACATATGCGCTGAAACAAGTAGGAGTAGAAAACTTTATCTAGTTCTGAAGAGGGGGGATATACCAGGAAAGGTTTTTGAGGAAGAATAAAAGGAAAGAGTGAGGCTGGAAATGTGGCTTGGTGGTAGTCCTTGCCTAGCATGCATGAAACCCTGGGTTCAATTCCTCAGTACCACATACACAGAAAAGGCCAGAAGTGGTGCTGTGGCTCAAGTGGTGGAGTGCAAAAGAAGGTCAGGGATGATGCTCAGGCCCTAAGTTCAAGCCCCCAGGACTGGCAACAAAAAGGGGGGTAGGGCTGGGAAGGTAGCTCAGAGGTAGAGCACTTGCCTTGCATGCATGAGGCCCTGGGTTCGATTCTTCAGCAACACATAAGCAGAAAAAAAAAAGCCGGAAGTGGCACTGTGGCTCAAGTGGTAGAGTGCTAGCCTTGAGCTGAAGAGCTGAGGGACAGCGCCCAGGCCCAGAGTTCAGGCCCCACAACCAGACCCCCCCCCCCCAAAAAAAGGAGGGGAGGGAGAAGGAAATTTGATTGCCCTACTTTCTGTGGGTAGAGGCTGCCTGAATGAACCATGTATTTAGTGGTGAAATATAACTAAAAATGTATATAACAAGTTACTGGGAGAATGAAAGGGAAAATAGGATCTGACAGTTTATTTTTCAAAGGCATCATTCAATCTCTATTGGTCTAGAATGATTACTGTTGAGAAGGAAAGGATAAATTAGATGAGTTTGTAGGATACTTTTCATCACATAAAAGCCAGACAGAAATTCACTGAATTACAAAATTCCTGGGAATTCATTCTAACTTCGTAACAGAAGAGAGATCTACTAGATATGCAGCACCACGTTCTACTTTCATCTCCAACACTGAACTAAGCCCCCTACCTCTCCCATCAGGCAGCTCTCTCAACTTCATTTACGTTACAACACACTTAAAAGTTAAAAACAGATGTGGAATCCAGCTGTCTTCTATGTAGCTTGACAGTAAAGAGATCTACAAAAACACAAAATAAGGCAGGTCCTCTGTTGTTTTGGTTTGGAAAATATCTCATTAATTATATGTGTTTCTATGAAAGGTTTTTACAATGGTCCATAATTTAATTTCAAAATTAATTATATTCTTATTAGAAAATGAAACAGTATGGATCAACCCTAAAAGTTGTCTAGAAATGTATAGTGCCATCAGCACTGAGATTTATAATTAAGAATTAACCTGCAACACATATTGCAAAGTGATTTTGGCTATGATTTCATGTTAGGACATAAAGACAAGGTTCATCTTCAAAATGACTCAGTGCTGAAAAAGAGCTGAGCCTGAAGTAATCATACAAACTCAGGATTAGCAAAATTATGTAAAAGTAAAAATGTTAATAAAACCCTTATATATTATACTTTAATAAAGTGAGTTTACATACAAAAAAGAACAGAGAAGCTAGCTGGGCACCAGCTATTCCTAGCTACTCAG